CCAACCGATGTGGGATTTCACAATCCACCCCTCTTAAGGACCAGCATCCTCGTTACACACCGCCTGGTGTCTGGCTCTAACACTATTTGTAACAATCCAAGCCCACTGCTAACAGATATTGTCCGTCTTGACACGTAACGTATCGTCGTTAGCCTCATAATTCTAAAACGTGTTTGCTAGAGAGAGGTTTCCACTCCCTTATAAGGAATGCTTCATACCCCTCTCCGATCGATGTGGGATCTCACAATCCACTCCTTTTGAGAGCCTAGCGTTCTCACTGGCTGGCACACCACCCAGTGTCTGGCTTTGATACCATTTATAATAGCTCAAACCCACCGCTAATAGATATTGTCCACTTTGACCCGTTACATATTGTCGTCAACCTCACGGTTCTAAAACGCGTCTGCTAGAGAGAGGTTTCCACTCCTTTATAAGAAATGTTTCGTTCCCCTCTCCGACCGATGTGGGATCTCATAATCCACCCCTTTGAGAGCCCAACGTTCTCGCTGGTACATTGCCTGGTGTCTGGCTCTAATACCATTTGTCACGGCTCAAAACCCACTGCTAACAGATATTGTCCGCTTTGACTCGTTACATATCACCGTCAACCTCACAGTTCTAAAACGCGTCTGCTAGAGAGAGGTTTCCACTCCCTTATAAGGAATGCTTCGTTCCCCTCTTCGACCAATGAGGGATCTCATAATTCATCACTTTGAGAGCCCAGCGTTCTCACTGGCACATTGCCTAGTGTCTGGCTTTGATACCATTTGTCACAACTCAAAACTCACTGCTAATAGATATTGTCCGCTTTGGCTCATTACGTATCATTGTTAACCTCACTATTTTAAAACGTGTATGCTAGAGAGAGATTTCTATACCCTTAGACTAAACGTTTCGTTCCCATCTCCAACCAACGTAGAATCTCACCGGTGGTTAATTCTAACTCTTATATATAATAGCAATTTGTAAGTTGCCTTTTTACCAAAACCAAAGTCAGATATGTTTTCCCTTCAAAAAGGTAATCTTTAAATTAAAATTAAAATCAGTGAAGAATCTAAATACAATTCAATACATTTGTTTTTGATTTTGATGACTTGGAATCTGTTGACTCAGACCAACTTTAGGAACAAGGCATGGTTTCACTGTGCAAGAACTTGACAAGGCTGTTCTGTTTTATTATGTGTTGGTTGTTGGTTCTAATGAGACTGACCCACTCTGGAATATGGACCATTATTCCTCCACTTTGTCCTTCATAGCTTCTTTTGCTGTTGCTGAGGTGTTTTTAGCTTGTAACTTCTAAGTGGGGCTGCCTGAAAAGAAGAGAATTTAAATTTTAACACCAAATAAATTAAAATAAAGGGGAGTCCTTGAAAGTGGCAAGCATGAAGCACCATTTCCCAGAGCCCCACAAAACAAAACTTGGGTGATGTCCATTCCCTTTTGTGCCTCTGCTAGTGCCAAGCCACACTTCATGGGGTATCATTACTTTTTATAACAAATGGTACTTGACTTTAAATATTTGATGGGTTTTTAGCCCTTTTTCTTCCCATGTTTATCTGATAAGATGCATGCCTAATGAGTGCCTGTTTGTTGTTCGGTAAAGAGTTGAACTTAGACTAAGTTAGCCATTAACTTGTGATTTGGGTGAACATTGATGTAGCTGGTGCGTTTGTAAAGAAGTTCTTGCGGATAAGAGCGAGCTTTCGATGTGCTCGAACAAGACGTAAATGGTCATTGCCTCGATAAGGTCTTAGTCACTTTGAGACTAGGACTTTACTTGTGAGATCCCACATTGGTTGACGAAGCATTCTTTATAAGGGTGTGGAAACCTCTTCCTAGTAGACGCGTTTTAAAAACCTTGAGAGAAATCTCGAAAGGGAAAACCTAAAGAGAACAGTATCTGCTAGCGGTGGGCTTAAGCGATTACACGCCCACCGACTTTGGAATGTCAAAAAGAAAAAAGATTTCATAGTTGCACAGGGATAGACAACATGAATGGCAGAAAATGAAGGGCTAAAGGGCCAAAAATGAGAGGCACTGTTAGTATCATCATGATGCACAAACATATGGGCACTCACATATGTCTATGGTGAAGATTGGATTCTTTTTCCTCATGGAGTTGAATGGTCCATGAGATTAAAAGGCAATGCTTTGAATCAAATCTCATTCTCTCTTCCAATTTACTGATCAAGATAGTGGAATTTTAGCTGTTAGATATTCCTTTATGCATTTCTCTTGGAACTCTTAGAAGCTAAGTAAAAACCTTCGTGAAGTTTCATAACCTTCAACTTAACTCTTCCATTGACCCATCATTTTCACATTCATATCAATATAAACTTCTTGAATCAAGAACTGATATCAACAGCAATGCAGAGATGATGATCATGATATCCAATGTGCAAACCATGATGAGAAAAGTAGCAAATTCAAGACCATTTTGGCAGTCATTTAGGATGATAATCATTCCATTTTACAACCAACACTATCTTTATCTGATATCTTGATGGAAATGAGCACATGGGTTCTAAGGATTTGGGTCACAAATGGCCTATTTTGATGGTAAAAATGTTCCTAATCACTGTTCTTTGATTGAGTTATTCATGGAAGTGAGCAAATGGGTATCATAATTTAGCATAATCAAAGCCAAAAGATCTAGTTTTGATGGTAAAAAAGAATAGCAGAGAGTAAAAAAAGTAACCCCTCCACCTCTCTTCTTGGTGTGGAAATAATCATTGAAAATGACCCACCACTTCAAATTCTTGCAAAAAGAACAAACCTGGGACCTTTGTTCTTCCTCAAAAAATTTACACCATCCATCAAAATTTTACAGTTTTTTCCTTTTTGAAGCTGAAATTTTTACAGCTGCCCATTACAGATAGTGACCCAACATTAATGTACTGATGAACTGCAGAGACATTGAATGGAAATGGAGTGGGTTTGGGCAGTTTGTGTAGGTATGTGCCTTAAAGAAAGCGCAATCATTTTCAGACATAGCTGTGGTTGAAATTTAAGGGGTAAATGACCTTAAAGGAGGTAAGTTTTTTTTTACTGATATCTTAGGAAAAAGGTAAGAAGATTTCCCATTTAAGGTTTGAATGTTGTCCCTGCCATTCCTTACCCAAATCTTAACTGTCTGCAGCTCAGTACAGTCTCCAAGCTTGAATCCTTCTCCCTCTCCCTCTCCCTCTCTCTCTCATCTCTTTCTCTCTCCTCTTTGGTAAGAAATGAAATTTACTGCTCTTTTTGATGTTTTGACTGCTTGATATGAAAAGTTGGTTCTCAACTTAAAATGGGTCTGTTTTAAAACCCTTATGTCTGGAATTTTTTAGTAAGCCAAACCCTTTAGAGGGAGAGAGAGAGGGAGAGATAGGGAGAGAGAGAGATTTATATTTTGTGTTGGGAATGGTGAGGCAAAGGAGAAGAAAACAAAACCAAAGTTTGTGTTTTTGTTGGAATGGTTCTCTCTTTTGTATGGACTTGAGCTGAGATTAGAGAGAAATGAAGTAAGCTGTGAGACACACAACCAGACAACCTCAATACTTACAAATCACAAATCATTACAGTAAAACAAACGACTTCTTCGAAACATTCCAACCAAATGGCTTCTTCTTGTTCTTCTTCTTCTTGTTCTTCCTGTTCTTGTTTTGTTGTTGTCCTTCTGGTTTTTACTTCTTTGGCTTCTGTTTTCTCCACTTCCATAGCCCATCAAATGCCACTAAAAAACCAAACTTTATTCCACCCCACCAAAGAGCTGAAGAAGCTCAAGCACATCAGAGCTTATTTACGAAAAATCAACAAGCCTCCAATCAAGACAATTCAGGTAAAAGAAATCTTGGTTTTTCTCGAAGTTTTTGATTGTTCTGCAAATTTGACAATCTGGGTTGCTGTTGTTTTTGTCTGAATGTTTTGTTTTGTTTTGTTCTGTTCTGTTGCAGAGCTCAGATGGTGATGTCATAGACTGTGTTCTTTCTCATCTCCAGCCTGCCTTTGACCATCCTGAGCTCAAAGGACACTCCCCATTGGTAAACCAATTCAAAATCAGAATCTTTTTCTGTGGATGAAATTTTTTTGGGTTGATTGAGAGAATTGGAAGTTTCTGATGAACAGGAACCGCCTGAGAGGCCGAGAAGCAACAAATCCATGGAGGAAGTGGCGGATAACCACCAGTTATGGTCAGCTTCCGGCGAGTTTTGTCCTGAAGGGACAATTCCGATCAGAAGAACAACAGAAAAAGACATTTTCAGAGCAAATTCTATTCGAAGATTTGGAAGAAAACCCATTAGACATGTGAGAAGAGATTCTTCTGGCAATGGCCATGAGGTTAGAATTCAAACCCAAATCATTGTTCCTTTTTGATTACTCAAAGTCACTTTATTCATCCAAAAAAGGTGTTTTTCTTGAGCTGAAATGATGAAAATTCAGCTGATTAAGAGCGTTGAATGATTACAGCATGCAGTGGTGTTCGTTAATGGAGAACAATATTATGGAGCAAAGGCAAGCTTGAACATATGGGCACCTCGTGTAACAGATCAATATGAATTCAGCTTATCACAGATATGGATCATTTCAGGCTCATTTGGCAATGATTTGAACACCATAGAAGCTGGATGGCAGGCAAGTTCTTGAGTGTTCTTGAGTGTTCTTGAGTGTTCTTGGATGTTCTTGAAGTTCTTGTGCTTTAATCTTCCTTTTCGTTTGATCTTTTGTTTAGGTTAGTCCTGAACTCTATGGCGACAACAATCCTAGATTCTTCACATACTGGACAGTGAGTTTTCATGTCTTGAACTCGATTACTTTAAGGTTTGAAAGAACAGACAGAATTAACGTTGTTTTTTTTTTGTTGGCAGACTGATGCTTATCAAGCCACTGGTTGTTACAATCTGCTTTGTTCAGGATTTGTTCAAACCAATAGCAGGATAGCCATTGGAGCAGCAATTTCGCCTGTTTCCTCTTACAGAGGGAAACAGTTTGATATTGGTTTAATGGTTTGGAAGGTAAGTTCATTTATTGCACTTTTTTTTTTATATTGACCCAAAAGAAAAAACCCGAAATTTTTCAAACGTCAAATGTTTTAAATTCGTGTACGATCTCGGTTATCAAATCTTTACGTTTCTTTAAAACTAACGATAAGGAATGACCAGAATGTTACCAAACGAGCCCTTTAAGTTTTCATTTGTGAAACGACCAGAATGTTATCGGGTTCATTTGTGGAACAACTAGAATGTTACCAAACGAGCCCTTTAAGTTTTCATTTGTGCAACGACCAAAATGTTACAAAAAACGAGCCCTTTAAGGTTTCATTTGTGGAACGACCAAAATATTACCAAACAAGCCCTTTAAGTTTTCATTTGTAGAACGACCAAAATGTTACCAAACGAGCCCTTTAAGTTTTCATTCATGGAACGACCAGAATGTTACCAAAAACAAGCCCTTTAAGTCTTCATTCGTGGAACGACCAGAATGTTACCAAAAACGAGCCCTTTAAATTTTCATTTGTGAAACAACCAGAACGCTACCAAACCAGCCCTTTAAGTCTTCATTCGTGGAACGACCAGAATGTTACCAAAAACGAGCCCTTTAAATTTTCATTTGTGAAACAACCAGAACGCTACCAAACCAGCCCTTTAAGTCTTCATTCGTGGAACGACCAGAATGTTACCAAAAACGAGCCCTTTAAATTTTCATTTGTGAAACAACCAGAACGCTACCAAACCAGCCCTTTAAGTCTTCATTCGTGGAACGACCAGAATGTTACCAAAAACGAGCCCTTTAAATTTTCATTTGTGAAACAACCAGAACGCTACCAAACCAGCCCTTTAAGTCTTCATTCGTGGAACGACCAGAATGTTACCAAAAACGAGCCCTTTAAATTTTCATTTGTGAAACAACCAGAACGCTACCAAACCAGCCCTTTAAGTCTTCATTCGTGGAACGACCAGAATGTTACCAAAAACGAGCCCTTTAAATTTTCATTTGTGAAACAACCAGAACGCTACCAAACCAGCCCTTTAAGTCTTCATTCGTGGAACGACCAGAATGTTACCAAAAACGAGCCCTTTAAATTTTCATTTGTGAAACAACCAGAACGCTACCAAACCAGCCCTTTAAGTCTTCATTCGTGGAACGACCAGAATGTTACCAAAAACGAGCCCTTTAAATTTTCATTTGTGAAACAACCAGAACGCTACCAAACCAGCCCTTTAAGTCTTCATTTGTGAAACAACCAGAACGCTACCAAACCAGCCCTTTAAGTCTTCATTTGTGAAACAACCAGAACGCTACCAAACCAGCCCTTTAAATCTTCATTTGTGGAACAACCAAAACATTATCAAACAAGCCCTTTTAAGTGTTCATTTGTTCATAGCATATCTAAGTTAAACTATGGCCACAGGATCCAAAACACGGGCACTGGTGGCTCGAGTACGGGTCGGGTACGCTCGTCGGGTACTGGCCAGCATTTCTATTCAGCCATTTAAGGAGCCATGCAAGCATGGTACAATTTGGAGGTGAAGTAGTGAACAGAAGAGCTTCAGGGTTCCACACAGCCACACAAATGGGGAGTGGCCACTTTGCTGAAGAAGGCTTTGGCAAAGCCTCTTATTTCAGGAACTTACAAGTGGTTGATTGGGACAACAACTTGCTTCCTCTCACAAATCTTCATGTCTTGGCCGACCATTCTGACTGCTATGATATCAGACAAGGCAGCAATAACGTTTGGGGCACTTACTTTTACTATGGAGGTCCTGGCAGGACCGTTAGATGCCCTTAAAACTATCATAATTCTTCTTATCATTAATAAATATCCTCGAAAAAAGAACATTATAGGATAGAACGTAGTGTCTTGGGCAGCGATTTGGGTCGAGAGTGGTTGGTAAGGGATAATGAGTTATTCTGGTACAGACACGATGAGCAGTGTGGGACAGACCTACCTATCCTAATAGGAACTCGTAAAGGAACGAGAGCTGTTGAGAAGTTCCATATTGTCAAGTCGAAGAGTGCGAATGGTACTGTTTAGAGCTATCAGATTGAAGGTAACGTCTCGACATGATAACGACCATATTGTTTGTCATAGTCTCGAGCAAGTAGCGGGTTTTGTTACTCGTGAGAGTTTGTTTATATTTTTTTTCGGTTTGGTTCGGGTTTTTTATCTTTGTGTTTTGTCCTAGGCCTTGAGGTAGGTATGGTTTGGGTTTGGGTTTGTTTTTTTTAATTTTATTTTAATATTAATTATAGATAATGGAATTTTTGTAATTATGGGAGAATACAAAGAATTAGACAGGTTGTGCTCTCTTATGCTTCCACTTTTTTTTAAAAACCATCATTATCCGTTATCCGTAACGGTGCTGATCTTAGCTAAATTTGACTCGAGACATGTTCGGGAGCGATCTTATTGATTTTAAAGCTGACAAAAGTGATTACAATCGTTCTGAAAAAAACTCGTAAACAAACCCAATTTTCAATTGTGATCTTCACTTCTCGTGGTTGGTGTTTTGATGATTCCAGCAGTCTCAATTTCCCGAACAACTAGCTTCCTTCAATGTCTCTCATAATGTGCTCTACGGAGTTGAAAGTCTGTAAGATCCCATATCAGATAGAGAGGAGAATAAGGTGTAAAAACCTCTCTAACGGACACGTTTTAAAATCGTAAGACTAATAATATCTGTTGACGGTGCTTGAGTTGTTACAAAGTTATATCCTCGTGAAGTACGTGACTAGTTTAGTCTTGTTAAATGATTAAAAAATGATTATAATCTTGAGGGAATATTCCAGTGTTGGTTTCTAGATTAAAAGTTTATGGGGAATTGAATTATTACAGGCACTTTAGCTTTAACTATATATAGAAGGATTTTGAGCTTTGAGTCATCAGAATGGTGCAGAGAGAAGTGCACAGATTCTGATGGTGGAAAAGAATAGAAAGATATTGGTGTCTGTGTGGCTCCAAGCGTGCTACTGCTCCATTACTTTGCCATTGGTATGCCCACTCTCGATAACGAATCTTTACGTGTCTTTATAACGGTATTTCGTGACTATGTACGAATTGATGTTGTCTATTTTAACCCGTTACGTATCGTCGTTAGTTGCACAATTTTAAAACGCGTATGTTAGGAAGAATTTTCTATACTCTTATAAATATATTTCGTTCCCTCTTTAGCTGACGTGGGATTTCACCAGCAAAGCTGGCAAATTGTCAGCTCGATATGAGATTATACGATATCTTCACAATGGTAATTCAAGACCAAGTTTGAATCGATAGGGTTTGTCAAATTTTCTTGTGGAGCTCGTTCCTCAACAAGGTCGGGATTTTCCATTTTAGTTATGGGAGAGACTAGAAAAAATCGCTTTTAATGTTGGTCATTAGAAGAAAATGATGTCGGTTAGGTAACCAACACTGTTTCGACTGTTATTTACGAATTATAACGAACTAAAATTAAGTAAAAATCATTTAAATTTTCATTATTTACTCCATGAATACGATATGGATGATTTATTTTCTTCTTTATAAAGATGTGCTCGTTTAAAAGAATATGAGACGTCGATTGAGAAGCTTGATAATAACATAGATCGAAGATTTTGGGATGAGAATGAAAGATATATCAGTCCCACATCGAAAATATATCAGTCCTACACTCCCCCCATTCAAAATATATCAGTCCCACATCGAAAGATTTTAGGGAGGAGGGTGTTTTTTTAAATGTAATTTTATCCCCTTGAAGTTCTCAGCGTGTTGGGCTTACTTTGGGCTCAAACATGAACAATGGGCTTTATCTCTATTATTCACTCTCTGCCTCGAGCCCGTGAAATTCTTCGGTTCATTTAAATGAAAGCATTTTTATGGCGGGAAGTACTAGGGCTCACTGAAGAACAGGGAATTACCGGGAAAACGACGGCTGAACCAAAGAACAAGGCTCTGTTCTTGCATTGAAGATGGACTAATACGATTGAATTTCGAATCTCTTCAGCCTATTACTACGTTTGTTGCCCTTGATCGTCATTATTGTTGAATCGGTTCGAATTCCTCTCAATAATGCAGCAACGTCCTTCATTGTCGGGCGATCATCGGCGCGATGATAGGCGCACAGAAGAGCGATTTCGAGGACTTGATACATTTCTTGAACTTCCGCGTCGAGATGGATCGTAAGCTTTGGGTCCAGAAGCTCGATTGGATCTTTCTGGCTGTATAGATGATGCTGAACCCATTGGATTATGTGTTGGCCTTCTGGAAATGAAGGATCGGCAGGCTTTTTTCCGGTAATCATCTCTAAAAGTACGATTCCATAGCTATACACATCGCTTTTTTCTGTTACTTTTAGCATGCGACCATACTCTATCAATAAAATCACTGTTAGTCGAAAGTGGAATTTGATTGAAAAATTAGGTTTACCAAACCGAAATTAGTGCTCACCTGGTGCAATGTAGCCATAAGATCCGACGAATTGTGGATTGGCCGACGAGGAGTTGTTCGGATTGTCTTCAATGAATCTAGCGAATCCAAAATCTGTGAGGCACGCGTCGTATTCATCACTCAACAGTATATTTTGGACCTTCACGTCACGATGCGAAATCGCGGGAACGCAGTCGTGATGCAAGTAAGCCAATCCATCTGCCACGCCGATGGCGATCTTTAACCGAGCATTCCAGCTGATTACATATCCACTAGAGCACCGCTCGTGTAACAGATCGCCAAGGCTTCCGTGTGGCCAGTAGTCGTAGAATAGCAATTTCATTTTCCGATTTGCTGCCCAACCGAGCAACCGGATGATATTCCTATGTCGGATACTGGCTAGAATTGAGATTTCGGAGGAGAATGCGGCGGCGACGAACTTCTCCGATGTCTTGAACCGTTTGACGGCAATTGTTAAACCGGGCTGGATGTTGACCTGGTAAACGACGCCGGATCGGCCACGGCCAAGGATGTTGCCAGCTGTCAGTTTCTTTGCGACGTCAGATATTGATAGGTCGAGCTTCTGATAGAACGTCATCTCCCATTCGAGTTCATTGCCAATCTCCAAGTCGCTATCGTTGCCGTTGCCGTCGCCGTCGTGCTCGTCGTAGAAGCGTCTTTGGGCCCTTTTTTTCGATCCGAAGCTCATGTAAAACGCCACCATGAGAAGCGTCCAAGCTATGCACAGTAGCACCACCACTGCTATGCGAGACGCTGATTCACGCCTTGAGTTTTTGCCTCCATTTTCGTCGGTGAACTGGCTGCCAAAGCAGAGATCTGGATTACCGGAGAGAACGCTAGGAGGGAGTTTTCGGAAGAAGGAAGTCATCGGAACTCGGCCTGAGAAATTGTTATCGGAGATGTTGAGTACCACAAGATTCTGCATTACGGCGATGATTTGGAGGTCGCCGCTGAGGTGGTTGTGTGAGAGATCCAAGATTCCGAGTCTGTCTAAATAAGCGAACTCCTTCGGTATCTCGCCTTCAAGTCGGTTCCAACTTAGGTTTAGAGCGATCTCCAGCGCCGGAATTTCTCCCAGCTTTCCCGGAAGATTACCGGAAAGTTGATTAACACTCAGGTCCAATAATTGTAACTTCAAGCAGGAACCGAGCTCACTTGGGATTGGGCCGGAAAATCGATTGTTGTACAGAATGAGTTTTGTGAGCGAGCTCAACAGTCCGAGACCAGGATTTAGATTCCCTTCAATTAAATTACTCGAGAAGTCGATGATTTGAAGGGAAATAAGGTGGCTGAGACCTGAGGGTAAAGCTCCAGTAATATAATTGGAGTGTATATCGATGAATGTCAGATTCTTGCACCCAGAAATCTCATCAGGCATAACTCCAGAGAACCGGTTCTCTCCAAGGTCTAAGAAACTCAGATTCTTCAAATTCCCAATCTGGGGTGGGAGAGCGCCGAAAAGCATGTTGTTGTTTACTCTGAAACGATTTAGCGATGAACAATTTCCGATCTCTGGAGGTATAACGCCCGAAAGATTGTTGGAGAGGAGCATGAGGCTGTTAAGCTTCTTGAGTTGGAAAATTTCTCCAGGAATGTGACCCGTCAAGCCATTGACTGATAAATCCATCTCTTCAAGCATCTGGCAGCTAGAAATTGAAGACGGAATACTTCCCTCGAGCTTGTTATGCCACAAGAATAACGTTCTCAAATTTTTTAAATTCCCTAGTTCTGATGGTATCAAACCCATGATTTGGTTGTTGTCAAGCATCAAGTGAGTAAGTTCCCTCCAATTCTCAATCTCAGTTGGGATCTCGCCTGAAATATTGTTCATTCCCAAGTTCAATTCTTGTAGCGAAGTCAAGTTACCAAATGTGGTTGGAATGCTTCCCGTCAAAGAATTCATTGAAATGTCAATACTCAATAATTGATGACAGTTTCCAAGCTCCTTTGGCAACGTGCCCGTCAATCTGTTCCTATATAGAAACAGATTTTGCAGGTTCTGGAGATTCCCGAAACTGGTTGGAATCGAGCCTGCTAGCGATGTCTCATAGATGAACATGTGTTGGAGCTCACTGCAGTTTCCAATTTCAGGAGGAATTTGGCCAGAGAGAAAGGTTGTGTACAATGCGAGTGTTTTGAGCTTCTTGAGCAAGCCTAAACTGGGTGGCAGAGAGCCTGAAATTCTGGTTTCTGCAAAGCCTACATAAACCAAATTGGTACAGTTCCCAATTTCTGGAGCTATATTGCCTTCCATGTCTCTGTTCCCACCAGCTCTGATCACCTTAAGCTGCTTCAAGTTACCTATGCTTCTGGGAATTTGACCGCTAAGTTGATTATCATGAAGACCAAGCTCTTTAAGGATCGTAAGATTCCCAATTTCAGCTGGGATCGAGCCCACAAGTCTATTTGAGCTGAGATCGACATTTTCGAGCTTGAGCAAACCACATATCTCAATTTGGATTTCTCCTGTCAAGCCATTGCCACTCAGGTCCAATGTATTTAGTTCTCTTAGATCGCCAATCTCTTTAGGAATTGAACCAGTGAGGTTTGTTCCCACCAAGATGAGCTTGTTCAGGGTCAACAATGAGCTAAAATTAGTGGGAATTCTACCCCCCAATTCCACGTACCTGAATTCCATTTCCACAACTTCCCGTTTGAAGTTGCAGGTTATTCCAAACCAGTCACAAGGAGTTTCATCATTTGAATCCCAATTGTTCAACTCTTGGGCCGATAAGTTCAGAGATTGTTTCCATGATAGGAGAGCTTGGCCTTGATGGTTGAGGGCAGAGGCGATTAAAGAGAATGAGAAAAGCAGGAATAATATGATGAAGAGGGTCCACTGTTTTCCATGCATTTCTACAGCTGTGCTAGGAACTCAAATGGGAAAAGCAGAAAAGTGTGTCTGAACCCCTAGGCAACGGGCGAGGACAAAGCGTGTCCTTTTAGCTTATCTGTTGCTGAATATCTCTGAACATAACCATGTTCTCTGGTTCCAACAGACCTTCCAGTCTTTGTTGGTCAAGCCAAATCAATGAAATTACAGTTGGCTTCCGTTCATTTTTATGAACGAGGAGAGTTCTGTTCTTATAGTTCAAAAATCAGAGGGAGAGTGAGAGAGAGAAAGATAACCGGAGGGTCCTAGGGAGAGACTAGGGAGAGACTAGGGAGAGACTAGAGAGAGACTGAGAGAGAACCTATTCGAAGATAAGTTGGGCGATCCTGTAGAGCTGTTTGAAAACAAACAAAACTGTCTTAGTCTGGACAAATTGATGTCCATACATAAACTTACATGCATTCATTCTGTTTAGGAATTATGTAGAAGAAAACCTGAAAACTGCAGACAAAACTTCAAAATAATAAAAAGAATGTTAGTGGAAGTAGGATGGATTGGTAGGTATATTATCTGTTTGAAAGTCCACTTGTTCATTATTTGGATGCGTAATCATATTCTATGCAGACCCTTAAACATGTAGGTATTTCATCTCAACATCTCTGGAGAGATCTGTTTTTGAAGAAATTGTAGCAATTCCAAAACCAGTGGTAATGGTAAGCCATTGAAACTTAGACCCTTTCACTAGATATTATTCTTTCTTTACTTAGTCTTTAGTTTTGTAAGCCATGGAAATTATACAGGACAGTACAACCAATGCAAGCGTAAAACAAGAATTCAAGTCAGAAAGGTAAAGAACTAAGCACCCAAGGACTACGGAAAAGTATTTTCCAGGAAGGTAATACAAACTTCAAAATATTCTTTCTGTCACATCATATATAGTTGTTGTAGATCGACATGAGCAAATATTGTGATACACATTCAACAATAATATGGATTGTTACATCTGGCATTTTTCAGAGAGATTACAGTATTGAAACAAAAGGCTTCAAGGCAAAAATAAACTAATATGAAATGTGGAAGGAATATGCAGTTCAGACTCCTTCTCGTGCGAAGCCATCAACTAAGGGATGAATAGGTTGGTGCTGATACTATTTCTGGTACTATTATATATATAATAATGATCTTTGCTTTCTGTTTTTCTGGCTGTGGTTGTGTCATGAAAGCCTGCGCCCATGGGGTAACGTTTTGACATTCTAAATCCACTCTGTTTTCTAATATCTTTCATTTGTTTGGTTCTCTGTTTACTTTTGTAGTTTTTTTTTTTTTTATAGTAATAGTGGTTTTTACAAATCTCTCTTGATTTTAGAAAATCTTCTCGTTTACAAATTTTGACATAAAGGGGATTGTTTTAAGTTTTACATTTGTTAAAAGTTAGTTTACAAATCGCATTTTACATGAAAGATAATATTGTTTGTGAATGAAAAATGTAGTGCTTCATTCTATTACAAGAAACTTGAATGTATGTTAGGAAGAAGCTAGTATATTTGAATTGCACATGAATAATATTTTTTTCCCTTTAAATGAAAAACTAAGCTTCCATCAAGACTAATTAAAGAAAACAAACCAAAATTATAGAAAAAGAAGAAAAACTTTCTAGATGAGGTGCTTCCATGACGAAATTAACCTATAAAAGTTACAAGCAAGAGCGAATGGTAGAGATCAAAAGATAAAACAATAGTTGCAAAAATCCTTAGAAGTTGACATCCAAAAAGAGAAGTGAAACCTAGTCATTAGCCCACATCTCCTTTTTCATAACCTCTAAAAGTTCTCCTAATTCTCTCAAGCTAGGTGTTCTGCAAAGTTGCGCATCCTAAACTAAAAAATTTTCCTACTGTCATGAAATGACAGGTAAAACAACGACATCATTTATACACTAGAAACATGTTAAAAGACTTTAAAAATGACCGATTAGGTTACTACAAGGGATAGATAAATTGATTATGAAAGGCATGTATAACATTTGGTTTTTATTGGACGACGTGATTGGCTATGCACTAGCCAAATATAAAAATGCTCCAAAAACGTCCAAATTCTAGATATATATTAGTTATCTATCGGACGACAAGATCAACCCTACACTAGACAAATATAAAAATGCTCTAAAAATGTCCAAAGGGATATATAATTTTAATGTGAAAGATAGGTATAACGTTTGGTTTCTACCAAACGACAAGATCAACTATGCCGTAGACAAATATAAAAAGGCTCCAAAAACGTCTAAATAGGTTGCAAGGGATAGATAAATTGTAAAAGATAGGTGTAACATTTGATTTCTATCGAATAGGAAGATCAACTATGCACTAGACAAATATAAAAACACTAAAAAAAAACGTTCAAATTAGTTAGGAGGGATAGATAAATAGGTTACTGAAAGGCCAGTGTAATATTAGGTTTCTACAACAAGATTAAATCAAGTGGGACAATCCGCATGCGTTTGAAACTAGGTAGCCAAGTAGCTTAAAGAATGCCACTAATCTGTTTGGTGCTAAAGATGAGAATAAGTTGCCTATGCCTCGAAAGAAATCTCTTACCCTTCATTTATATATTTTCAATTTTTTTTTACAAAAATTGTTCTGACCTTTGTGGATTTATGGTTCATCTAACGCTCATCTTTGTGGCATTTAGTATAGATTCTTAAAGTTCAAAGGAATATGTTCAACGCCTAATCTCACTCATTTCATGACAATGACGATCAAATTTTGTAGGATCAAACAATTATTTGATGGAATCGATGGAAGTGGGTGCAAATGCTTTACAAGACAAGGTAATATATTATCTTAATCTCTTCAATTTAGTTATATTGTTTAAAAAGTTTAAATTATATATTTTAAGACTTTGAGTTATGTCATTTTTTTTTTCTTTTATTGATGAATGTTAAAATTATCTTATGATAAAACATGAGACTTAGCAATCGGTAGAAATTTAGATGAGAAGTTAAACTATCATCTAATTATCTCAAAATTGAGAGAAATTGAAAATTTTTCTCACTTAGGTGACACAATTTCTCGTTGACTCTATTATCATTTTTATGTTTAATATGTCATTGAGTTGTTAGATATTATTAAAAGTTTATGGATCTATTAGACACAATAAACAATAATCTTCATCTCTAACTTTTTCTAAGAATCTAGCACCCATATAACTTGGGTAGACCTTCACTCTTCGCTAGAACATCATAGGTATGGTCGTATTTGCTAGGTTTTCCGGGATGAACACCCCACCCACTACTACTTGGAATGGAGAAAATAAAACTCCAAAACAACTTTGGAAACCCCAAAATTATTAAAGAAGGATTGAAGAGCCACTCAAGTGTCAAAAGACAAACTGACATTTAGCCCTTAAAACAATGGGGGAGAAAGGAGGACACAGTGAAAGCTAAAAAAAAAAAAAGCATAAAATTAAAAGCTAAAAGTCAATTATTAGGATGGGACATATCTTGGGATTTGTGCGTAGAAAAAAAAAAGAAAGAAAGAAAGAAGGGCAGAGCTTAAATTAAGGGCAAAAAAGAAATATGCAATGTAAATATACCTATACTTTATACTATAAATAAATATCACTATTATTTTGGTCAATTTTCTAGATCATTTTCACCTTGAACCATTTTCAATTTTCATGCACCATCTTATTCATCTCCCACTATTGTCCATTATATATTCTTTATTTCTTAGCTATTCCCTTCGAGTCATCATAATCTATATCCTATTATCACGTTAATGTTTCTTCTCATTATTATTCAATTTTATCATTTTATTTTTTAAATTATTAAATCAAATGCTCCTATATTCATTTGGTAGCTCAACTAGATATAAAGTGAAGATTCAAATTTCTGACATCTGGATCGAAGGTACATCTTAAACAATTAAATTATATGGGCCTAAGATGTTTTGTATGACTATTCTTTTACTTGTCATTTTTTAAAATAATTCTTAACTAAAATTTAAGGCTAAGTATATAGTTTGATTTTTTTTAAAAAAAATTTCTAATTTTTTTTTTTACAAGTTACAATTTCATCCCATCCGTGGATTCATTTTTCTTTGTTGCAATCATTATGAATTTAAAATAATAGTTATTATGACCTTGTTAATCCTTAGTATACCAACATTTTAATGAGTTTGTTTTTACTCTTATCAACAATAATTTTTAAATTAGATTAATTTAAGCTCGGTTTACTAATATTTTATTTTAGATTTATGTTACCTCTAAAGTTGTCTATTTGTGGTTTTTGTTTTTATTTAAAATAAATTCATAAATAAATATATTTGTAAGTATTAAAGTTGTCTATGTTTCCTCTAAAATAAATATATTTGTAAGTATTAAAATTAAAAAAAAAAAAAAAAAAAAAAAAAAAAAAAAAAAAAAAAAAAAAAAA